AATACGGCTGTACATCATGCACAATCCTGCCATGGTTAGGTCATATTTTTAAAAGTGAGTTTGAGTTTCTTGTATCTTATACCACACGCCAGAAGCATTTTAACCTGTGAGTAGCCACAAGTTTAATGTCTGTGGTTTTGAAAACAACCAGGTTAATGAGATATATCAATTAACGAATCTCCATTTCCCCCTAACATGTTTTTTTAATTTATGCCTTTGCATTTAAGGAATATGATTTTTGTGCCATGGAAATCTTTATATAAAAACCAAAAGTGTCATTGAATTCCCTTTGCCACCTTGACTGCCTGGGGAAGTGTTCTGTAATCGTTTATTGAGGAAGGGCAGTGTAAGCACAGCCAGTGACTCAGGCAGGTGTGCGGGCCCTGCTAATGTGGCTTCTGCACTCTGAGCCTCAGGGGTCTGGGTTCACCCCAGGAGCCCCGAGTTGCGGATTGACGCTGTCTACACCTGGGCTGCTGTGAGCACTGCCCTTGTGACTCATGAGGCCCCGGTAAAAACGCCCTCAACACTTGACAGCTCCCACTGTGAGCGGGAGGAATTGCTCCTTTGAAAGCCTCTGTCAGGGTTAATTATTGAACTCATGTGTGAATATGGGCAAAGTCAGACGAAGGCCAGCAAGTCCATTTACCACCTTGGGTGTGAGTCTTCAGCGGAGCAGAAAACCAGTTTATTCTCTAGCAAAAAGAAGAGGGCTTTTGTGAAATTTTTTGGGACACAATTTCAATTTGTCTCATTTTGCTGTTCTTAGCTTATTTTGTGCCACATGTAATACAACAGGCTTTATCCCAGGAACTACAGACAAAAAGACGTAGGACACAGTTGAGAGCCTCAAGCAGTCTGCAGTCTGCAGAAGACGACCAGAAATGAAGAGGTGGACACAGGAGTGGACGGCACATGTGACCGTCTGTAGAGCATGCAGTGGGAAGAGTTGCTGAAAGGGGGCTGTTCCAGCCCAGCCGGGGCAGGGCCAGGGGGGTCTTTAGCAAGAAAGGAATGGCTCAGCAATCCTGAAAGATGCACGTCCTGCAGAGCAGAGTCTCCATCTGTAATTGCAGCACAGATGTCAGTAAAGGCAGGGGATGCGTGGCGTCCAGTGCCCACCGCCGCAGGGGTTGCTCTGACCCGGACTGGGCTGTTTAGTGAGGGGGTTCAGGGATGGGTCAGCAGAGGAAGGGTCAGGGTTGGTAATGAGACAAGGGTCGTTTACAGACCTGAGAAGAGCTGATGTGGGAGAAAGAAATAGGAAACAAGGGTTTCTTACAGGTGTCCCTAGGCTAGGGCAGGAATTTGGATTCCACAGACACCGTTTTCTTAGTCATGTGTTAACTGCTCTAGTATAAAAGGCCAAAATATCCAGTTCCTCACTGTTGTTTATGGAAAAACTAGAAGTTTTTGTTCCGTAAGGTGTCAATAGGGTTTTAGATTTGGGGCTTAAGGGTCTTTTATTGTAGCACTAAGCCAGTACCTCTCAGAAGTGGAACCATTCATTCTATGGTGAGATGCAAAGCTAGTTCATATTTTAAAGAGTAAGACCTCAAAACAGTCCCAAGTAACCCTTTGTTATTGGTTCAATCGAAAAAAATAGGCAAAAGCTAATCAAGTGTAAATACAATCATATATTAAAGACCCACAATGACACAAATAAATATAACTTTATTGCCATATTTAAATTTATGTAAAAATATTAATTCCATACTACTTTTTATATGCCTTTTATTATGTAATCCCTAGGAGTAAATTTGGGGAAAAAACACAGTGAAATTGTGAAAACTCCAACTGTGTCACTGTAGTGAATACATCCGGTGTATATTTTCCATGCTATTACCCTTTGTGAATTTACTATGGAATTCATAGTCTTGAAGGAAAGATAGAATTCAGATCCTAGAACATGATGAAAACACCACAGGAAAACGTGTGTGGTGTTATTTAAAATTCAGCTTGTGTACCTCTTTTCCAAGTTATTAATAGGCTTGAGAAAAACAATATAAGCAGTTTCTCCTAAATAGAAGCAAGTTCAAGAGAATAGACTTCCGTCAGAAGCAGCTGCTGTTAGGGAGAGGGAAGCTGGACTCGAACAGTTTGAGAAACTGGGAAAGAGGAAGGAATTGACCCTCCCCGTGGTCCCTGACGCTCGGTTTACTCTCTTTAAGTTTACAAGTGGCTGCCAAGTTGTGTCCACGCAGCCGCCTGGTCCTCCCTGGCCCCCCTTCAGCAGAGGCCTGCGTCAGCACTGGCCGGAGAGGAAGCATGCTGAAGAGAGGATTGTTTACCACTGCAGTTCTGCAGGAGCTGCACGCTCGGAGAATTGGGTGGGTTAAGGAGGTGCTGCCAGTCTGCTCTGAGCACATTCGAGATTCCCCAAAGAATGGCTTGGCATGCAGTGAGCAGCATGTTTTATCACTGTTGCGGGTAATTAGGGAAAGTCAGAGTTAAAATTAAAAAACCACTTCTACGTTTGCAGGCACGTCTGAGTTCCATGCCAATAAGATTAAACAAATAAGCAGTGACTAACCAACCCCACGCAGTCCTGACGGCATCCTCAAGATTGTAATCTGAGGAGGGCCCTGGGGATTTCCACAGATTGGGAATGCGGGCCGAGAGCACATTTCAGCCAGCACGCAATGCTGCTGCAGTTTCCACTTTCTCCACTCACAGACCACAGTGTACTTGAGGGTAAGGACTGACCGCATTTGTTCAATCTCATCCTGCGGACAGACTGGCACAAACAAGAAGAGAAGCCATTGACCGGCTTCCTGCAAGCAGTTTTTGGCCTGGGCTGAATCTCCTGCCGCTGGGAGATGGGCTTGGGGAAGGGGTTGTGGAAATGAGGTCAGAGCTCTCAGCTGTGTGTACTTCACCCGGCCTGGGTGCAGAAGGAAGGGAGGGAGGGAGCATCTATCAGCCAGAGGTGGGTCTCGGCTGCCACTTCATTCCAAGGTGCTACACACAGGAGCGAAGGTGAAGTGAAAGAATCAGACAGACAAGCTTTATATCACATAGGTTCTCTTATATGAGAAACCCAAAATATAAATAAAGAGCAAAGTAAAAAGTAGATAATAGGAAACAGGGAGATCGATTCTTTTGCAAAAGGGAAGAGGAGCAAGAGGTATAGAGAGGGTGGAGAGAAGGCACATAGAATTAAAATGTGTTATGTACATGTACCGGCTCCCCATGAGGAATGTAATCAGTATGTATTGCAAACATGTACTGATAAGAATAAAAATGTTAAGATTCCCACCCAACACCATCTTTAAGTTTTGAGATACATAGGAAGAAAGGTCCTTATACTTGCAAGCAAACCCACTTGTCATGCACATTTGAACAGCAATCCATACGCACATTTTGAAAACAGGAGAAGTATCAGCAAATAAAATGAGATATAAATGCAAAAGATTTGAAAAGAACAAGCGGTATCCATTCACAACAAGACAGTATGATATTACAGGAGTAAAACTCTTTAAGAGATTCGTTAGTTTAGGTTCAGTTCTATTTTAAACGTTAAAATATGTGCCGTAAAGTTCTTTTGGGTATGGGAAGTGCTAATTCCCTTCATCAAAAGAATGGCTTTCCCCCATTTCATTCTGAGTTTCCCAGAGTTTCAGTCTTCTTCATGGTGCTGTTTTTCTGTTTTTTGTGATTTTATCCTTTCATTCTGCCAAATGGTAAATGGCGTATACTGTATTTAATTTTAAATTTCAACTCAGTTAAAGACAGCTCATTTAAAAAGCCATTTAAGCACTTTGAGCCAATTAAAAAAAAGATCAGTGGCACCCTCGCTTCAGAAAGGACAGGGCATAAAAATATCCAGGTTGGCACCCTGGGATGGATTCACGTCGCCTTTGAATGCCGAGAAGCTTGGCTGGGAGATTCAGCTCTCCTGTGGGAGGTGGTGCGCGCTGACGGAGAAGCAGGGCCTGGACTCTCTCCGTTTCAGGTCTCCGTCGGAGAACCATGGGACTGGAGGCCCGTCCCTGAACCACCCCTCAGCTCAGGTTCTCTCATCCTCCCGGAACTATAACTTCTGCCTTTTGCTAGTAGCAGCCACCACCCCAGTGTGCTGTACTTTTAGGAAGCATCATTCATGTGTCAAGGTACTGAGTGACCTCAAACTTCTCCTTCCATAGTAGCCTCTCAGTCTGTAGGTGAGCCGACCCTGAAAAGTGGACGGATGTTAGCAGTGCCCTGTTCTGTTCTGGGCACCCCTGCTCAACAGCTGTGTTCTTTATTGGTAGGTGAACTTGGTATCGTGACATCCTGTGCTTCCACCCCTTGTCCCACTAGGCCATGAGGTAAACACCAGTGTAGAGTTTCGCTCTGTGCCACATCTTTAGTTGATAATTGATGGAATATTTTATATTTCTTCGATCCTACCTCAGTACATTGCCAGAAACTGCTGGATTTCACCTGTGTGATTTTTCAAAAGAAATTAAATGATGAGTCCCTAAAAGGGTTCATATTTGCTTATTATTTCTGGCTTAATAAAGGGGGGAAAAAACAGATAAGACCAGAGCACCTGTAATCAGTGTTGCCGGAAATTATGACCCTGTTAGTTTGACATTTCTTTTTTTTTTTGGTGGTGGTGGTCAAAGAAGAGTCTAATTATTAGGCTGTTAGAAATCTTATTTAAGTGCTCATTAAATGTGCTACCCGTTTAATAGGCTTGCCTGATCATTATGAGCCTTAGGAAAATTATTTTTCAAGTCTTGTATTTTTCCACTGAATACCTCAGGAGCGGTGGAGTTTGAGCAGTTGATCCTAGTGAGGAGGAAAGACTGGTGCCCTGTGTGCAGGAGATGCTCAGAAATTATAATAGTTCTCAGATGTCCCTAAGGTAGATGTACAGATTTGGGGTTTTTGTTTTGTTTTTGTTTTGAGACAGGACTTCACTATGTAGTTCAGGCTGTCCTTGAATTCACTACATAGCCCAGGCTGGTCTCCCACTTGCAGCAATCCTCCTGCCTCAGCCTCCTGAGTGCTGCGATTAAAGATATATACCACCACACCTGGAAAATTCTGGAAAATAAATTTGGAAAAAATGATTTGAGATTAGAAAGAAGAGGCATCAAGGATAAAATAGAGATTTTTTTCTTTAAGTTTTGAAAATAAACCAACTTTTACACTAAAAACTAAGTCAGTGGGGACACATCTCAATTTTCTGTATAGTGGAAAATTACAGATATCTTCACGGTTGTAAAGAGAAGACTTTTTACCTTAATGTATTCACCTTCAAGCTGAAAGTTATTTATACATTTTAAGGTCACGTTTGGTATTTTCCCTTCCTATAATTGGCTTAAAAGGATTTCTCCTTTCTGAATGTGGCTTTCCACAAAACTTTCAATGCATCTTTTTGGATCTCTCTCCTTCACTTTGGACAAGATGGGGAAAAGAACTATTATAGACTGTTCTGCCGAAAGCAGGGGCTTTACCTTTTTAATCGGCACTTTACAGATGTGGCAACACATAATCTTGCCCGAAGCCTGCTGCCTACAAGTAGGTGGAGCTTGCAGGGTGTAACCCACACTCTGTCGCTTCACAGCCCATTTTCCCCACTACACATCTGCGTACATATTTTTTCATCATAGACCTAAATGCTCATCTCCATTATTTCCTATTTTAAAATGTCAAGAATGCTGTTGTTACAGAGGGTGAAACTCCAGTTGGGGCTTGGGTACCTTCCTACTTTCCTGCTTAAACATGATAAAGTGCTCAGCGTGTTTGCGTTTCACATCCAAACAATGGAATGAATGCCTTTGCTTTTTCTGAAGGAACTCGGTTCTATGGATTAAAGCTGTGGAAGATGAGAAATATACAAATATATCTAACATGATTATCTTTAGACTTCAGGGTGTTGCTTTCAACACAGCTAGGTCATTAGTTGCCCCATACCTCTTATTTCGTAGCACGGTCTGTTCAAGGGCTGCTGATCCATCGTCACCGTGCTGTTTGGTGTGAGACACTGAGAAGATGTGTTTGTGCCGTGCACCAGCTGCCTGTGTCAGTTAATGGCCCTGACCCTCCGGCTGCTCCTCAAGAATGTCCTGGTAATGGCTGCGTTATTCCTTAGGTGCTGCCTGTTTTTCCCAAACCCACCTACTAATTTCAACTCTTTGTTAAACATGGGGTTTAACAAAACCCACGTTGTCATTGGGTTTTGTTCCCCAAGCCCAAGGCGCAAAACAAATAACTCTCTGGATTTAAGGTGACCTTGAGTCCCTGACTTGTCCCTATCTGCCTAGGTCTGTTGTGGTTTTGGCATGGAAAATTCTGCATCCCGGTCATCTTCCCTCCACAGCAAGCCAGGACTGCTGAAATCCCTAGATGGTGTTATTGCCTGGCAACCTGAGCAACTTAGTCCTGCCCTGATTAGCCGCACAGGGCCTCCCCAAAGGGCACTGAGGTCCTGTGTGTCGCGTTTGCCCAAGGTTGTGGTAGTTGTGATTTCCAGTATCTCCTGAATTGAATTGGAAGGCTCACCCCAGACCTCCAGGTCCTGGAGCGCTTTACATCTGGCCTTCCCACACACGTCTGCTGATTAGCTGTGCCTGCTTGTTGTCAGTGTGCAGCCCTTCATTTAAGGACTGCCTCCAGCTCTACTTGGTGAAGAAAGTCTTTGGAGCTCTGTAGCTTGTCCCCAAGGCGGACGCTGAGATGTGCTTGTTGCTCCGGAGTTCTCTGCTATCACACAGTGTGAAATCAGCTTTCTGTGGCAGTTTCTAATCTCTTGGCAGTCTTTTTAAAAGTCTGCCTGTTCTGAGTGACTAACTTGGATTCCTCTCGCCGTCTGCTGGGCGTTCCGGGTGAGCTAGATAGCAATCTGTAGGGTGCTGGCTGATGATCTCGCCTTCTCCGAACTCCATGTATCTTCTCCGTGGTACTGCAGGAATGCTCGACATCAGTTTAAGTCCTTCAGATTAAAGTCTGCCTCCTCAGAAGCTCCTTGGAATGCACTTCTGGGGACATAATAAAGCCATGAGAGTATAATAGTTGTGTGGAGCAGGAGCAGGTGGTGACTGCACAAGCCTAGGTGAAATGCAGCGAGCTGTGGGGAAGTGGGAGCTTCATTCATCTGAACAGTGCAAGTTCTGAGCCCCAGGGTCATGTGGAGACAGAAGGACGGGCAAGGGCTTGGCAGCTGAACACCAGGTTAGAGAAAGAAATGGAAACGAGTCTGCCTCGTCATTTGCTTGGCCTTTCTTTTCTTAGCCTGTTGCTCAAGGAGGAGTGAGCAGGTCCTGAGGCCATGCTGAGTACAGCACAGGGGAAGAAGGGGAACAGGGGTGCCCTTACTCCCTCCCCTCCTCCTCGGAAGCTAGAAGTGAGTCAGGCAAGATCTACGTTACTCCAGCCTGGCCCGCTTGGCCACACTCAGGAGAGTGCAGTACAGCAACGTATGTCGCTGCCCTTAGAAGATGCCAACAGCTCAGTCTCTGATGTTTTCCATAGTTTTTTCTCCTAGTGACAACGCACAGATTCATTGGATAGCTTCCAGCACTCATACCGTGTGTTATTCTGGAGGCCCCATCTTGGCAGGCTTTGGCAGGAACTGCCTCCAAGGCCCTCCGACCCATTCTTACCAGTAGCTCCTAACAGTCGCTCTTCCTGTGAAGCTGGTTCCAGTTTCATAGATCATTCTCCTGGTTGGTATCTGCCTTCAGCTTCTCCGACTCTTCTGGCCAGCTTCCAACTGCAAGAGCTGGGCGGCTCTGTCCGGGGCTCACACACTTTCTGTCTCCAGTGCAGTATTTAACAAAGCGGTACAGGGCTGAGAGTCATCCGGACAGTTTAATAGAAATGCAGATTGAAGTCTCCACCCCGAACTTAGTAAATGGGAATCTTTGGAGGAAATTTTTCTCTGTACTAAAATTATAGAAGTAGCACCCCAAGTCTCTCCCTATGTGATCTCATCCTGAGCCGTATCCTTAAGCTTTAACTGTTTTGTGTGCACCGTGCCTCACAGGTTTGTTGCTCCACTACCACTACGAGTCACTGTGAAACTCTACTCTTGCATACTTGGCTGTCTCTCGACAGCTCCTCCTGGATGTGTCCCAGGTACCTCAGACTTGACTTGTGTAAAGAGAACCCTCCACAGCTGGGACTGTCATTCAGTTTCTCAGGCGTTGCTCATTCCTTCCTCTGCATATGCAGCCTACCATCGACACTTCATCTGGTCTATCTGAAAGTTCTGAGGCATCTACCTCTTTCATGGTGCCGTGACTTCATCTGCTTTTTTTCCCCAGAGTCATCTCCTGTACTGTGGTCCAGCCTGCCATATGTCTCGAGTGACTTCCGAAAGAGCCTTTTAATTGGCCAGATGTTTCATGTCTCCCTACCAATTTGTCTCTGCTTAGGAAGGAGCTGGTATTATCTTTTCAAAACACCATGCATATCCTGCATGGAAACTGTATTCTAGCGTCCCTCTTTGCTTCAAATTCAGTTCAGCATCTTAATGGTCTGAAGAGAGGAGCAAAGCGCGGCCAGCTCCAGGCTGCCCTGCCCTGCCCTGCCCACCACACTCTACCCCTGCTCCCAGCGCCACTTGCACTGTCCGCGCTTGGTTCCCTGAAGGTCCCTGTGCCTTGGAACCTGGCGGCTGCAGTGGCCTCTGTCTGTAGTGTTCTTCGCTGGGCCTGGCTCTTCCTGTCACGGGTCCTCTGCCCACTCCTGGGAGGAGGTCCGGTGACTTCCTTGTCCTCTGTCCTCCCCAGCACACAGGGTCCTTTCAGCTCCTCTTCTCATCTCTGTAGGACTCAGCATGTTGTGGTTATTTACTCATTTCTCTTCTTCTCGAGGTCATACACTTGGGACCAAGCGTGCTGCTCCCACCATGCGGGGCCTGCCTAACAGTAGGCACTGAATGCACATTTATTATGAGAAGCAAGGATTAGGCTTTGTTGGCTTGTCCCTAGTGGAAGGCCAAGAACTGTTCTCACCAGAATTTAGGTGAGACTTAAAGATTAATGTGATATTGAAAGTGTAAAACAAGCGCTATAGCCAGCCAAACACAGAGTTGTGATATTCAACTCCATTTTCTCCCATCCTTCCTTCACCAGCTTTGGGTTAGATTATATGTAAATGTTTAACATTAACTGACCAGAATTTACCTCCATTAGTTATATAATTCATTGTAGAATTTTTGTACCACAAATTAAAAAAAAAACAACTTCCATATTCCAGCTAATTTTTTTTTTGGTGTGGAAAAATGACAACATAGGCTTGTCCTGAACTACAGAGATAAAATAGACATTTCTTCACATACTCTGACTTGAGGAAGGATATAAAAACAAATAAATCAGACAGTGTTTCTTAATTCTTGATTAGTGCCCCGACATTTGGCCGTTTTGAGTACTGTTAAGTCATCTACGTGCGAGTCACTACATTATCAAATGTCAGTGTGTGGCCTGTTGCATGGGGTTTGTATTCAATGTGGAACTGTTCGATGTAAAAAGTCATTGTTTCCCTCTAAAAGGAGCAGTGAACTTCAAGAGAAAGCTGATCCTTATATCACTCTATGATAACATTATGTTATTGCTAAACAAAAATATCTGTGTAGATTTCTACCTCATTACTACAGTGAGCATTTGTAGGAACCACAAGTTTTTCTTCCATATGATGCATCATTAGGACATAAAATAATGGGTATGTGTAACATTGTCTTGAAAAAATGAGTAACTGAATCCAATGTAAAATGACCGTGTCCTGTGGCAGATAAAAGTGTTCAAAGACCAAACGAGACGTTCTTGGCAAAAGTCAGAATGGTATGGCCAAACCTGCTGGGCCCAGGAGGAAGAAAGCCCCAGCTGGTCTTCCTTCATTGCAGAGAGTGTTACGTGATGTTGGCTGTCATGTTTCACTTGGTGTTTTTATCACTGTGGTACAGATTTGCTTGCTCAACTTTTATATTAGTTGCATTTGTTTCCTCCTTTCTTATCTAGCTATTTTCACCCCTTCCATGCTTGCCTTATTTTGGTTAAGTGGTACAAACATTGAGTAACATTTATTGATGTTGGCACACAATCCACAACCCCTCAGGGAATGCCCTTTCTCCTCTTACCTTATCTGACATTCCTTTTACTGTAGTTGTATTATTTTTCCAAAACTGATTCTAGTGAGAAATAGAAGCCATGGTGTTTAATCCTCCAACTCCTATTTTTCATACTAGAAGCTATAGCTACATCTGAGATATCATTAGCAAGTTAAATGCTGAATATCATCTTGGATTGCAGCCTCTTGTGAGTCATTTGCCTTTTAAACAAGGTGTGTCCAATGTTGGAAAGAAACCATAGCAAGGGCTACACCGGAGTGCCAGGTATTTCAGATAGAGCTGCCACACCCAAACCCAAAGCATTTGTTCAATGACTGAGATTAAGAGTTAATTAACATTTAATATGCCTCTACTTATTTGTTCATTAAGTTTCCATGAAAACTTTTCCTTAAATTCTTTTATTGGTACATTTTAGGTATACAGTACATTTACACTTATCATTGGGTGCTTGTACCTGTACATGATGTATCTTGGCTCTTATTTTTTTTCCCCATTACCTGTGCACCCTTCACCCCTCCACCCTTCCCTATTTACATACTTTGTTTCCATTTTTTTTCTTTTCTCATAATTTTTCTTTCCCCTTCCCCTCCCGCCACCCCTACCCCTTTGGACCTTTTCCTGTTTCAGATTACTAATTATTCATTATTAATCCTTTTAATCCTTATTTACTCTTTCAGTTTCTCACACTAGAGAAGCTATTCGGTATTTACACATGTGTGTCCTATTTATTTCACTTATGAGTATGGCCTCAATATGCATCCATTTAGCTATAAATGACTAGTTTCTCATTCTTTATGGCTGAGTAGTACTCCATTTTATAGAAAAAAACCCCACATCTTCTTTATCCAGTTTCCAGTTGATGGACATTTGGGCTGTTTCTAAGCTTTAGCTATTACGAACTGTGCTGCTATGAACATGGGTGCACATATATCACTGTGGTATGATTCTTTTAATTCTTTGGGGAAGATACCCAGCAGAGGAATAGCTGGGTTGAAAGAGACCTCTATCCCTAGTTCTTTGAGGTATCGCCATACTGATTTCCACAGTGGTTGTACCAGTCTACACTCCCACCAGCAGTGGAGTAGGGTTCCTCTTTCCCCACAGCCCCACCAGCATTTGTTATTGGATGATTGATTTCTTGATAACAGCCATTCTTTCTGGGTGAGGTGGAATCTCAGTGTTTTCATCTGCATCTCTGGAATGACCAGTGATGCTGAACATTTTGAAAACTAACATTTTAACCATGTGTATCAGGACTCAGATTAACCTTAATCTTTCAAAGATTTGTCTTTGTTAGATTTGTCTTTTCTCAACAGAGACTGTTGTATTTATATTCATGTTATATAGATATATATATAGATATATAGGTGGCTTTCAGAGTCACCGTACTCCTGGAGGCTGATGATCTCACGCTAGGCCTCTCCGTGTTGTTACACAGAGAAGACAATGGAGAAGGAGGAAGAACTCAGTGTCATCATTTTGTGAAAGTGATTGGCGTGGAGGTTAGCACTACAATATTCTCTTAAATTTATATTCTTAAACAGGGAACATTGTCATCAATAGTACTATTTAAGTGGCAGGGAAATACCTTGGAATTATCATCATTATCATCTAAGCCAATGCAGTGTATAAGCTATTCAATTTTATTTTTTATCTTTCATCTCTTTTTGGTCATGTAAAAAATCCAGATTTGCAAATTATATCCTTTCCTGTGAGAGTGTTTTTCTGTTGCCAATTTGGTACTGATGCCCTTCCGTGTACTTGAGAATATATACCAATAGTTACTGTGACAATAGTTATTCCAGGTCAGAAAGAAAGCACCTGCAGCTTCGTGTGGCTGGCACACCTGCCAGAAGTCTGTGGAGAGGAGAGGGGTGAGCAGAAGTCTTCCTTTCTTGCACTTAGGCAGGTTTACCCTCCCGTTGACAGACTTTGAAGGCAGATTCTGCACAGCCGCACACCCTCCACACCCAGCCTGACTGATTAGCTTGTGTTTGCACGTTGACACACTGTTTTAGGAGTTGCCGACCCTTTGCCCTGGGGCTGGCGGGCGAAGTAAAGGGCCTGTCTCGCTGCTTTTGACTCTGTGTTTTTATTGATACCGCCTAAGGTTGCTGTAGCTGACGTAGCCATTGCAAATGAACTGTAAAGCTGAGTTTATGTGTCACAGGGTGCAGATCTTTCAGCAGCGCGCCTTTCCCCTCCATGGGGCTTCTGAAGCGCACAGGAGCTGGTGTGTGCGGATGTGTTCTGTGCATGTGACAGGCAGTGATCTGGCCCTGCGCTCATAGCTGCTCCTGCTTGGCCCTTCCTGTCCTGGTGGGCTCTTGAGCGGCTTCTGCCCTTGCTGCCACACACGGTGCTTCCAGAGCTACAGCACCGTGTTAGCAACAGACCCCGGAGCTGCATTGTTCGGGTTTGCTGAGTTACTAGACTTCTCATTTTTTCCTGTGAGTGGGTATTAGGATAGCTCCCTCTTATTCTAATCTACTTTCATGATAAAGAGTGAAATTGAGAATCTTTTAAAGTTGGTTTTCTGGAAATTGCCAACTAATACACTTCCCTCCAAACAAAATGTCTCATATTGGACATAAAATTCAAATGTAGGGAAGGGCCAGGAATGGGATGGGAGAGCAGGACTTAGCTGTATCCTGACATCTTCGCTCTTTAAACAATAAAAATTAAAGAAAACTTGGAAAGTTTTCACTGGTTAAGTCCATGTGACGAGTAGCTGCTTATATTTTATAGTACTTTGTCCTTTTCATACTATTTTTAGCATTTCATAATTTATGTTTTCTCACCTTTCCAACATTCAACTTCTTTTTGGTTAGACAAACTTTTGTACCTTTTTGCATTGTTTCCTGCATTGT